CGATGCTCTTAACCGACTACTTTTGACGAACAACTTCCCCGAGTTTACTGGTCGTGTCTGTCCTGCACCTTGCGAAGGCGCGTGTGTACTCGGTATTAATGAGCAACCTGTTGGTATTAAGAGCATCGAGTGCGCCATCATTGACAAAGTATGTTGGCTACACACTTCATTGTTAATATCGCTTATTTTGAACAATTAGGGCTTCGAGATGGGCTGGATGACCCCTAATCCGCCGAGCTTCAGAACTGGGAAGCGAATCGCGATCATTGGCTCCGGTCCTGCTGGTCTAGCATGCGCTGATCAACTTAACAAAGCAGGACATCTCGTCTCTGTATATGATCGCAATGATCGCATGGGTGGTCTTCTTATGTATGGTATTCCAAAGTGAGTCGATCATAATCAGATCATCATGTCGACAATCCTGACATACATTAGCATGAAGCTCGACAAGAACATCGTACAGCGCCGCTTAGACTTGATGGAAGCCGAGGGGATTGTGCGTTTTCATAACCCGTGTGATTCAGTCTCGCTAATCGTTTGAAAGACCTTCGTACCAAACGCTCATGTTGGGGTCACTGTTGATGCTCACGCTCTCCGAGCAGAGAATGACGCAGTTGTTGTGTGCACGGGAGCAACGTGGCCTCGCGATCTCAACATTCCAAACCGCAATGCAGACGGCATTCACTTTGCCATGGAATTCCTTCAGGTTCGTGTATCGCTTAACTTTAATTGGAAATTTCGAACGCCTTCTTTAGCTGAACACCAAGTCCCTCCTGGACTCAGAGCTGCAGGATGGGTCCTACATTAACGCAAGGGGTAAAGATGTTATTGTCATTGGTGGTGGTGATACCGGTAACGACTGCATCGGCACATCCATGCGGCATGGCGCCAAGTCTGTGACAAACTTTGAACTTCTGCCCCAGCCTCCAGGTTCGCGTGGCAGAGACAACCCTTGGCCGCAATGGCCTAGGTCAGTGCTTCCAATTTTCGCGACATACAACAATCAATCTCATTCAATCTTCGATCAGAATTTTCCGGGCCGATTACGGTCATACCGAAGTTGCTGCGCACTTTGGCAATGGTGAGTGATCTTTGCCGTCGGTTGAGGTCTTTCCTCACTCTGCCTTAGATCCACGGGAATACTCTATTTCCACAAAGGAATTCGTTCTTGACGATGCTGGGAAGCTCGAGGGCTTGAATACTGGTGCGTCGTGACTTCCCGAAGACTGTACTTGATACTAATTCCTCGCATCTCGGAATAGTCCGAGTTGAGTGGACCAAGGATAGTAGCGGGCGATGGAAGATGGAGGAGGTGCCTGGGTCTGGGAAGTTTTTCCCTGCGCAATTGGTTTTCTTAGCTCTTGGCTTCCTGGGTCCACAGTCACAAGCTCCCGAAGCCCTGGGTATTAAACAAGATGTCAGATCGAATATCCAGACACCTCCAAAGGTTTGTTCTGCAACATTTATTATGCTTTCCTGAACTTAACGATCCTTGCAGAAATACACGACAAATGTCGAGGGTGTCTTTGCGGCCGGTGACTGTCGCCGTGGTCAGTCATTGATTGTATGGGGTATCAAGTAAGTGGAAATCTTGCCTCAAATTCGAGTAATAATGAAGATATTCCAGTGAGGGACGGGGTGCTGCTGCCGAGGTTGATGCTTGGTTGAGCGCAGGGTCCACACGTTTACCTAGTGCCGGCGGTATTAAAACCAGGGTGAGGACTTACCCACGATCATCGTGATTGTCTGCTGATATTCATTGCGCCAGACTTTCGTGCCTCCTCCTAGCAATGTCACAAAGACGGTCGAAGTGTCTGCTTGAGCGCCGCGGTGGACGGCTTCGCATTTTCGTCTGATAAATTTATAGGAATCTTTGTATCCATCTATATCATTGTACAGTATTCCCTGGCAGTAGATCCATCAGCAATCTATTTTCGTTCATAGCTCACAGTCTCTCACAGAGGGTCACCTCCTCAGCCTATGCGTGGTGGAAAAAGCACCGTATGCTGGCCTTGAACTTCTAAAGTGTGACTCGATGTGACCACTTCGACGAAAAAACGTTGCATCAAGGCAGGGCACGATGCATGTCGCATGTCTCCTTTAACCCCTAGTAATTCAGTCGGCTTCAGATTATTACCTGATTTGACGACCTTTGTGATTATCTGGTGTGAACTCCTCTGTGATCTGGCAGAGGTCAGATAATCTCGAAGTCCCTCCAAACGATAAAAACCTACGGGCCTGAGTGCAATCAAGAGTATATCTTCAACCATTGCCAGCGTTCTAACACTCTCAGAAATGCCCAAAGTTGTAGGAACCAGACTCATGGTCAAAGAAAGGGGAGGAAAAACCCAGTTGGCTTTCCGCAGAGCACTAGGTATACGCGGGGATCAAGACGTCCAGTTTCAAGAGATCAAGGTCAGTGATGTCGACCACATGCACCGCACATTGGTATCTTGACAACTGACTTTCCGAACAGCACCGCGTACGAACTCTCGCGGTCAAGCACTTTGAGATCGGTCGAAAACCTCGGGAACAGGATCAGATTATCAAAGAGCGATTCTTAGAGGATGTACGGGCGTCTACCAATGATAGGAACGCCACTCATGATTGATCACTCAGGTTCAAAAAGCCTTTCCGATTTTCGGAGATGACGAGTGCGCAAATGCACATCTACTCAGATACGTCGATAGATATCTTGGTGCCAAAGCGGTGCCGAGTTCACGCTTCTATCACATGGTGCACGGTAACGACATTGCAGATCATGATGGAGATTGGCTACTAGGGGACAGTGACAAGTCCGACAACGTCGAAGAACACCGTGATACGCCAGCGAATTCTGAGCCACCGGCGGGTCTTACAACTCTCCACAACAGATCCCAGGTAAGAAAGGTTTTATCATCTCCGACAGCTTCCGCATTTCATAATAATACAGGCGATCTCTGAGTTGGACGAGGCAAATGAAGGAGCTTCTCGTATGGTTATCTCTGATGGTATCCAAGGTAGTATGGTGCAAAAGGTGATTGACATCCGTTACATTGAAAAGCATACTGCAACTCACTCGACTTTGATCAAGTCACCCATCTCAAATTCCCCGAGTCCTACTCTAACGGATTCTCGAACCATGAATCAGTCACCATCTCCAGATCCGCTGGTGGCCATGCCAATAGACTATGATACCACCTCGCGCAAGCACAGCGATCAGCCAAGGCGTGCGTCATCCGCGAGTACAGTATCGGCGAATGACTCCTACCACACAACACCTATCAGGAACTTCCTCAGCCGTGCAGCGCTTGACCATTTACTGGAGGAACTTATGACACTGGGCATCAAGAATCAGTCGCGTCTTCTTCTTGCAGCAACATGGTCAGAGGAGGACGTCAATATCCTTTTGCGTGATTCTGTGCGAGAAAGGAGGATCGACAAATTTGAGGCGCGGCAACTTGTTATTGCCTTGCGTTCTCTCCATCAGCGATCTATGCAAGTTGGTAACTGACTTTGATGCTTCAACATAATTTCGAGCCAGTCACATCACTTCTGCGCATGTACATGTACTGTAAGTCTTCTTTAGCGATTAAGAGTTTACTATGTCAAAGATACAGTACGGTACTGTATCTTTCGTGAGTAGCTTACAAAAGGTATTCAAAGTGTTGACAGTAGTTTCTGGTCGTGCGTCTATGACAGTGCCCTGCAATCCCAATCTTACATAGTTTTCGCCGCTTGCTCAGAGCTCAACGTTGCCGGGGGTATGTCATAAAATGTACACCTTTTGATCAGCATGTTACTCCTCATATATTCTTACACCTCCTCTGCCCCAGTTTTGCATAACAGCGTGCCCTCCTTCGGTCGGTTGAGTAAACGCGACATCGCCATTGACAGGGTCTAGTGGACAACCGTGGATGAATGTCGCAGCCGCAGCTGATAGCAAGCGGCTAGCAATACCTTGCCGTCGATGTGCCGACGGGACAAATAGACGTGGTATACCGAGGGGGGTAGGCAAGGCCTCTGGATTGCAAAAAAGCCCCGAGGTCGTGTCGACTGTGACCAGCCTGTGAGTCGGCGATGAAGGGGGTAAGTCACGGTCAGTGGCTTGATTGGAATCACCCTTAAGTAAGGTTTCTGAAGGAGTGGCGACAGTCATGGCGGTAGATATTCGTTGAGCAATGACGCATCCTACTATCTTCTCTCGGTGTACATTGGTCAGTGATGGTATCAGATAGAGGTATGCTTTCGATGATTGTAGAATGTCGGTTGATAGCGGAGGAGATGAAAGGGCAAGATTTATCGTCTCGAGCAATATCGCAAGCTTCGGAAATGTCAGTCAGAGTCCATAGTACGTGTGCGCCGTAAGCATAATGCGGTCTGCTCACCTTAGATCCAATTCTTCCACCGACGTTCGCCTTGAAACAAATGATGCGACCTTTCTTTCCATTTTTCAGCTTCACTGCAGATTGTATTTCTTCTACACCGACTTTCCCTGCTTCCCGCTCTTCTTCCCTACCCCACTCCATCCCCCTTTGCACACGTGAGCAATGGGCACGATGCAATGACTCGTCGTCCGGTGCGCCTCGCGTATATGAGAGGCCACAAATTGTGCAAGTTCGTAGGACCGAGGTTTCTATAGAAAAATGGAGCTGCCTTAGGACGCGTTGTTTTGACTTCGTAGACCTCTCCGAAGGCGAGGTTTTGTTTGTTATCCGTTTCTTTGTTGGGGGCTCGTTCTCGGCGCCTTCCCCGAAGTGCTTGCGCTTCGTTGTCGACGGCGGCGACGATGATGGTGAGGAGGACGGCAGTGACAGCCGCGACCGCGAGCTGTAGGTACGTTTGACTTTGGTCATCGATTGCATCTGTTGCAGGCTCTGCAGGTGATGAGATCAACAGAAGTTGCAAACCAGTGTGGCGCGACGCGTTTACATGCTCGCGCACACGTGACCTCATCACGTGTGTTGCAGACATCGCGATGTCTATTGAATGGGTCAACGTCTGTAAACAACCTTTGTACCAAGTGTTTCAGTGCAGGCTCTCAGGCAGCCCATCCCTCTTTAACTATTCCTTTTAAACCCCTCAAAAATGCTCCCATGGAGCAACTTTAGTGCGACGCCCTGGTCGCAACTTCTGTCCTTCATTTTCATTTTCCTCTCCTTTCTACCACATATATCATGGGCTTCAGAGTGGATCGACTATTCGCCAGATGGATATGCTACTATGACACACTACAGCCTCCCCGAAAACTTTATTGCAGCATGCGGGTGTACATCCACAAGCACAAATTATCCAACTGCTGCAATGAATCAGATGGCATACGGCAGCAGTACATCTTACGGCCCCGCTTGTGGACAATGCTTTAATCTCACCCTACTAAATTCTTTCCTTTCAAATCCCCCTTTCTACCCCAACGTCACAAAATCAGTAGTCATCAAAGTCACTGACTTATGTCCATTATCTCATTCCGGCTGGTGTAATGCAACTACTCATGGGCCGAACGCGTAAGCACACCTTTTTCGTTGTTCCAACATCTGATCTTCGCATAGTGGTAGTCACTACTTGAATTTTGACCTCGCATGGCCCTCATCTTCGATTCCAAATGATTTCTTTCCATCAAATGAACCACTTTATGGTAAGCACCCGAGATCGCTGCCGCACGCACAATTGATTCGAGTTTCTAGGTTGTACTGTGAGGCTACTTATTGCCGTTGTGCTTGTTTATATAAATCATCGTGCAACCAGGACTTTGGCGTCTGGAATGTCAGTTACCAGTCGGTCTCCTGTACAAATTGGAAGGGCTGGAATAACGCTGCTGCTCTCGGGAGTGTGGTTAACCTGGGATACAGCGCATGCTGTCCCAACAATCCAGCTGTTAGTCAGTCACTATCCTACATCTAACTGTTACCACACTTTTTCCTCAGGGAAGTACTAATGATACTTGTCCGTCGTATTCTGACGACAGTGGCATCCCGTATGTGCCTTTTCGCTCATTTCTTGAAGACATTACTGACGGTGTGTGTGCGGCCAAAAGACCTGACACGCAAACATCTGGATTTACTATATCCTCACCGATTTCGCTCCTTCCTATCGTCACACTCGCTGTATCGTTACTATCCCACGTGTTGTAATTTCTTGGTTTTTCCGGCTTCATGAATTTTTTTGGCATACCCCGAATGCATTGCAGTGGCGCGTACAAGAACGATGGCTACTCCATACAGCATGTATTCTTCACACTCACGACTTCCATACTTATATTTGGACATCCACTGCTGGCATAAAAGCTAGCTCAGAGTCAGGTGCCCAAGTACCTCGATGGCTCAGCTACATATACATCACCTGAATTACCAAGAAGACCATAAATCCAGTAATAGATGAGTCATAGTAAGTGTAGAAGTTGGGACAAAGGATGGACGTACAATTCCAAAGATCGCACGGTAGGCATTCAAGAAATAAGTTTCAAGTTGCACATACGCGTTTGCAGAGAAACGTATGTTTATAAGAAATCTCCTCCACTAATGGTGGTCGGGAAATAAATAGGGGGCGTATAGACTATAGGATACAAATTTTATGGGTAGATAGCTGCTGCAGGGCTCCATAGCGTCACAGTGGACGAAAAGCCTTCCGAGTCGTTCGCAAAATAAATGATCCCGTTCTCTTCGACGCTAATTTGGTATGTTGTCCCCACGGTTGCCAAACTGTAGATGCTGACGGAAGAGGCCCAGTCCACGTTGACGATCTGTGTTTGGCATGTAGTGTTACCCTCACATGTCGCGCTGTAGTTCTGGTGAGAGGCAAAGGTTAGGAACGACCCAATTTGCTTCAGCTGTGCCTCACCTGGAAGAAACTGTAGTGACCGGCACCTTTGGGGAAAATGCATAGCACGTAAACGCAAGCATCACATGAGCACATGATTAAGACGAACCAAACACGATGATATCAGTGGATGATTGCACCCAGAGACCCCAAGCCATAGTTGTGCCATCTGCAAATGTTGGATCATCGTAAACATTTGAGATATCGAATGGCCCTGGCGGTGCAGGATCAGGTTGGAAGTAAGGCTATACAGAGATATCAGAGGCAAACTCATTTCGTCTTTGGATTAACCTACCGTCTCAGTCTGGATTAGACCCATGTAATGGTTTTTCGCCCCGACTAAACTATACTGGTAGAGTATATGATGTTCCGCTATTGAGGACATCTATGAATTCATGGGCATCACCCAAGGTACAATACTTACAGGCTATGCGAAATCAGTATATCTGTCTTGTGGACATAAGAGCAAACTCACATGTACCAATCATCCAGACAGGACCCTGAGAGTGGGACAAAATTCCTCTTCCGCTGAACAAGGTTAGCTGGTCAGAGCCGTCGAGATCGTGATCTGCCAGCCAAACCCATGTTCCCTTGGCGAAGGACATTTGAAATCAGTGCGCTGAAACTATTGCTAAAGTCATAACGCCACACCTCAAGGTAAGCTGATGCACCATATGTGATGTGTAAACCAAGGAAAGCTGCAAAACATTCGAGATTAAAGGATCCCGCGGGGCACTCTGCGTCTTGGAGGTGGGTCCCATTAGCTAAAATAAAGAGTAATAAATCAACGTCCTGCATGCGATAAAACTTCAAACTTGCCTCCCCCGAGCCTATCACAGATGCAGATAAGATAACGGACTCCAAATGATATTAAAAAGGGACTCACCGGATGTGCGAATCCCACATTCCTGCAGCTCCTTGGAGACCAGGGGGATCGCGGACGTTCCACTCCACGACAATGGCGCCTGCAGCTGGTCCTTGCGTCGTGAACACGATATCTGTAATCTCCGTAATGCCCTGCGAGCCTGGTGTACCGACCTGTACAACAACGTTCGGGTTTTCCTGATTATTGAAATTAAGGCCGGCGCCCATAATCTGGGTCCAAGCCTCTCCAACAATTCGTGTTCCTGCCGGAACCTGTATAGTAGAAGTAACCTTATAGATGCCAGCATCGAAATATATGATATAGCATCCAGCGTACTGCCCCACATTTCAATCAGTATAAATATATATTGTCAAACTATCGTGTAAAGATACCTTTGTGAGTACAGCTTTAATAGCTTCAGTGTCATCCGCTATCCCATCTCCAATGGCCCCCAATGACCTGACGCTCTTGAACTGATCGACTGAATAGTCAGCATACATGGGATGTCCTTTGCTGACAATGAAGCCATTGTGGTCCAAAAGGACCGAGTCCTTATGCGCAGAGTGTATCTTGCCCTGTGTGAACGTTCCGTTCGCGTGCGTTCCTGTATAAATGTTACCCTTGCCCCACGATTCAATGGTCCTTGTTCCACCAGCAAGGATAGTAGTGCCGTTTTCCATGACAGCGGTGGACACGTTATTGAGTTGGATGTTATTCAATACGAGGGATCCTGCAACGGAGACATTTGTCGGCGTAGGGGTCTTGATGAAGACAGGAGTGTTTGTGATCACTGCGTCAATAATGGCCTCTCCTCCATTCCCGCCACCCGAAAGATTGAAGCCGATTTGACAGTCATTAATTATGACGCGTTGGTAAGTCCATCCTGTACCTCATCAATTGCGCGCTCACAACAAAAGAACAGTTATTACCCCAGTTCCACGATCCAAACACAGCTTGGGACAAGTGGTATAGGTTCAGTATACTGACATACATCGTAGACCTTACCTGTGTTTGCATTGTTGATAGTGATATTGCGCACGGTAAACCTGTAAGCGGACACATCATGTACCACGGAACTCGGAGAGTAACATGGACGCAAGCACTTACTGTTGGTTTCCGACCCAGATACCATACTTTCCACCGTTGAATACGAGATCTCCCATAAAGCCACCACTTCGCTAGTGTTCATATATGTCTTTCGATGTAACAATATTTATTTACCTTCCAACTTCCATATATATGCCTAGGAGCATGAATAAATAAGCATACCATCATTCATAAGAATGACATACCCTGGTGATTGTTTCCAGGTTCGGTAGACATGTTGACTACCACGTTGACCAGAGACGTTGACTGTGATACTTCCCAGTGGATACCAGTGGCCGAGGCATTCGCAGGCATTCGTGTGAGGTCGATAACAAAATTACGCGCCGACCGGTAGCTTTCATAATACAAGGCCATCGATGTCATGCATACAAGGATATTCGAACGACACATACAAGCTGTCTTGGTTGATATACCAATTCTGATTGTTGGTGTACGGGTCGGCATCTGATCTCGTTGTTAGTAGGTCTTCTTAAACTAAAGAAGCCACTCCGCACCAATTATAGCTAGTCCCGTGAAGTTAGCACTGGCAAGCAACGTCGGAGGTGTTCTTGCGTCGCCCACCATGACTGTGTAATAATATGCTTGGAGTGGAGTAGACACCAGGTAGGTTCTGATTAAACGCGTCAGAAACGAACCTGGCATTATACACACATACTTACCCTGCTGGGAAGTAGACTACTGCCGGAGTGGTTCTAACGAGCCGTCGAGCCTGAGAGTGCACTGGATATCTTGGAAATTTTGTGACTTACGTTGATGAACCGCAAGTCAAGTTACCACATCTGCTACCGGTGGAGATTGCAGCACTGCAAAAAATAAGCATTATGATAACGATCATCGATGCAATGGACTATGCACTTAATAGCAGCAGTGTCATCATGCACACCATCGCCCACAGCTCCATAATCCTTCACGTTCCGAAACACTTTGTACTTCGTCGCATTAGGTGCGAACGGTGCTACACCCTGATGGTGAATGTTTTCGAGCCAGTAAGGTTCTCCCCACAATGCGTTTCCTGTAGTAAGAGGCACACCACATGCTGATCCCAGTGCGGCGACATGGGTGGTCTGGCTCACGATCGCGCCGAGGGCGAGCAAAAGTAAGCTTGCGAACACCATGCCTTACCAGCGAGTGAGATCCGCAGAGTACAACGGAGAAAACGCTGGCACCTGAAAAAGTTGCGTACCCACTTTATATTTGCCTGAAGATAGAATGGAAGCGTACCAGTTTTATTTATTTATATAGATGGCGTCCACATTGTGCGACGGAAGAATATCGCCTTGATAACAAACCCAAGAATGAGATTGTTGGCACAATCATTCAGGTGACCCGTGCGTGGAACTCGAACATTTGATGAGCTGGCCCCCCGGGGCATTCGACGGTGCTAGTGGCGTAAGTAAAGTTAAATGCCATATAGTGACTTACGTGCCAATGTACATATGTAGTTAGTACCTTTGCTGAACCTGCACTCGCCGACTAGCGCCCATTTGGCCCGTTTAGACCAGCTATAGGCTTCGAAAAGGCTGCATCCCTTCTATCTCATACGTCATGTAGCAATCGAAGAGTCGCATGAGCCACAAAGATGTTCAGTTATATTCGTCGGCGTCGACGATATACAGGACAAACGAACGAACAAACGACTCTACTAATCGCACGCACTGCCAGTGACACACTGATCATGGCAGTGACATAATATTGCAGTTGAACTTGCCTCTCGGAAACGTCCGAAGTGGGACCCCGTAAGCATTAGGGTGCTGGAGCACCTTCAGCATGCCGCAACCCACACTGAGTCTCCCTAAATTTAAAAGCTCGCATACCTGTTTCTCACCGATGCGGACATCCCGTCGCAAGTATCTCGGTGACACTTGTATATAAAACTATCCACCTGACTCGGACTGCCACCATTGCATCTCAATGCAAACAATGCACATGGTGGCAAGTGTCCTAACCTCATTATCGATGTCAATGCGTTTCTCACTGCTATCCTTCGCCGAAATCCCACCATGGACTGGACAAGCTACAATGGGAATTATGGCCACATCGTGGTGCGTATCTGTAAACACACTTCTTCTCACCCTGCACACTGGTAGGCTACATTACAGCCACAAGGGTATCCCTGCTCGCGTGCTCGAGCGAGATGAAGAACGACGTGCTATCTTCATGAACCATATCGCCGAGACAGCTTTGGACCCGGAAATGCTGATGTTTGGTGACGAGCGTGAAGCTGCGAAAGATAAAAGGACACTGATTCGTCGATTTGGCGAAAATTGGAACAGGGTTTTCTTCGTTTATATCTCAGTAGCAGTTGAAGTGTACCGTCCCTTCTCATATCCCCCTGAATTTCCATCGTCTATCACACCTGAGTGCTGAGCCTTGGTCTTCACTATCCGACTACCCCCATCCCACAACATCCGTGTCTTTCTCGTCCAACACTTCCTCGCATGATTCAAATTGCCCTGTGAAAGGCGGAATACTGTTGGAGCGCTTGAATGAGATGCTGGGCAGAGGTTCGAGAAGCCCGGTATGTCTATCTGCCATTGTCGAGCCTTCGCGAAGATTTCTACGATGCGTTCCTACTTGGCTTACACTTGTGTTTCCAGACTGGAACGCGCGTGTACTTTGTCATGGAGTACGTTAGTGGAGGTGACCTCATGTTGCACATCCAACGCGAACAATTCTCGCTTCGTCAAGCCAAGTTTTACGCGTCGGAGGTCCTTCTTGCTTTGGAGTACTTCCACGCGAACGGCATCATCTACTGTGATCTGAAGCTTGATTAATATGTGGTATGGCTCAACCACGAGCACGTTCTGCGGTACTCCTGAGTTTATGGCTCCCGAAGTACTTGTTACATCTCCTTGCTGTGAGGATTGAACTGATGTTGATGCAGATTCTCCTGGAACAACGATACGGCCGCGCCGTAGATTGGTGGGCGTTTGGTGTCTTGACGTATGAGATGTTGCTTGGACAATCACCTTTCCGTGGTGATGACAAAGATGAAATCTTTGATGCCATCCTGGAGGATGAACCTCTATATCCCATCACCATGCCGAGAGATGCTGTTTCCATCTTGCAACAGGTTGAATGTTCCTGCACTCTACTTGTTGTGCTTGCTGATGGTGATTTTGCAGCTGTTGGCTCATGATCCCACCCGACATTTGGGATCTGGGAAAGCTGATGCCAAGGAGATCCGAGTTAAGAGACATCCCTTCTTCAAGGATGTGAGCTTTGATGATGTCTTGAACAAACACATCCCACCGCTGTACTTCTCCACTATAGTAAACCCTGATGTTTTAAGGAAAGGGAACAATGTTGATTTCATTTGTTTCTTCTCGATAGATTGGTTGAAGTTTACTGCTTCATGACCCAAGATGACACTCTTGGCAAAATTTGTTGCGTGATGTCTTTGGAAAGATTGTGCAGTAGACTGCTCAGGTGTCCTTTTCATCAGAGGCTACTCTGAGACAAAGAGCTTTTGTGAGTCGCCAAGCTATCGTACTTTGTACATGAATCTTATGCTATTATTGTAGGGAAGAAACTTAGAAAAACCATTCTCTTGGAAACTGGTGTCATCATTAAGTAGTACAGTGACACTGTGGACGGACTCATGCAACAATTCCAGGATCAAGTTGATCGAGACGGATGCATGATGTTGAATATTCTTGCAAGATATCAGTGCCTATGGATGGCTGATTCTGAATCGGGTTCAACAGTACTCGCATACTGTGTGTCCATGAATGACTGTGTGATGACAGAGATTTGATGACATTGAGTATATAAAGTATGTTCAAATAGTTTTTACTGTATGTTATAGCAGTCCATTTGGGAAAGGCTTTGGAAAGCTTAAAAAAGCTCAAACAAAATTAAGGAAGAATGAAAATAATTCCAAATATTTTGGGAGGTGTGCTACAGCTTCTTGTCTGCTGCAAGAGTGGCCCATTACAATTTTGTCATCAAGTGTACTAATGTTATTCTAGATACATTGACCAGTCCTAAAGGGCACTTTCCATGGGAAGGTGTTGCATAATCTTTTAGTTGAAAACATATATAATGAAAAAGGAGAACATTAAAAAGGTATGAGAGGAGTGTGCTGTCATCCCCTGTTGATCTTCGTGGCCACAGATCATAAATTTGCTATGAAGTCCTACATGATTCTACATTCATTGATTAGTGCCTAGGGATCCACATGGGTAAACCCGCAGGTGTCCTGAGGTCAACCCATACCCGTACCCACCACAGGTATGTACCCATGGACATGGGTATGGTGTAGCACTCAGATTGGCATTGGGCCCATATCCTGCCAATCTCATAGGTATCTCACATCATACTCCTTGACACTCCTTTTACCTTCCGAGAGTTCCGTGCACTCATCCGAGTCATCTGAAGGTCATCTGTTCCCTTCTGAGGCCTGTATACACTTCTGATCCTCTGTACCATGTCCTGTCTGTGTCTGTTTGACTTCGCTGGTGCTTTTTTCACTTGTTCATCTGTTATTGATTATGTCTTAGGGGCACATACATTGTCGGCCCATTGAAACCATTGGTTAATATGTATAGCTGTGCACCTTGTGTGCTATTACATGCATATCTCTGTAGCGGCTCACCTTAAGTCTTATTACATTTTGGATAGCTTATCTCGCTACTGTTTTCGCCTATGCAGTTTCTGGACTTTCATGCTGTAGGATATAATCTGCCTCGCTAGCTAACTCGCACTTCACTTCACTTTCCCTGCTACAAGTCATAGTTAGTAGAGTCACTTTGGATAGTCGTACCTTCGCACAATTGATTTTTGTTCATTCAGAATGATTGTTTGGCCTGGCCACTGCCATTTTGCATCTCGCTATCTCTTAGTTTTCCTGATAGACTTTGCTTAGTCGCACTTTGCAAGTCTTATACTTCGACATACACGCCATACTTCTACCCCAGAACCTTCGCTGTTCATTGGAAGCTCTTCGGACGCTTTGTGCAACCTTGGACCTTCGTTTCTTGACGTCAGACCACCTTTGGACCACATCAGACAAGTGCTTTGGTACTTCGGACACATCTTCGGAACTTTGATTGCACTTGGGTGACCTTTCTGTTCTTTCTACTTCGATCTTGACTAGATATCCCTTGCATTTATATCAAGGAGTATTTCTATAGGCAGTCTCTTTGGGACGAGCATTACACTCACGCATTGAGTTCTGAAGGTAACACTTTTGTAGCGCCTACACAGAATCAACTCTTTACAATGGGTATGTATGTGGGTACATACCCATGGTGGGTGTACCCACCCCCACCCAAATCCAACAGCCACCAGTGCTTAGCACACATGCCTGGCACACATCAGCGAATGCTGATGTGCATCAGGAAATTGCTAAGGCGATGGTTTTCGTAGTTGTAGTTGGTAAGATCAGATCAAAAAGTCACGCAATTATATGTAATGACAAAAGTAGACAAAATAATATATAAGATAAGCAAATTGGTAGTGAAGGATAAGATATGGCAAAAAATGTATAATTCTGATGAAAATAGGCAAGTGTACCAGCATTTCTTGACTGCATGGTCACCTATGGTCACCGGTGACCAAGAGGCTTGGCCCTATAGGATGCTTATGTAAGTCCGAAATTTTTCAAAGTTCAATGTCTTCTTACTAGTTCCTTCTCTCAATGCTACCACCACCACTTAATTACTCTGAACTTGCCTCAAACTCTCACTCTCTTTGGCCTTCCCTCTTGGTCCCTCCCTTATGGTTCCTCCTCCTTGGTTCCTCCTCCTTTGTGATTCCTCCTTCGCAGACCCTCCTTTGTGGACCCTCCTTCCTGAACCCTCCTTCCTGGACCCTTCTTTGCGGACCCTCCTCCCTCTTATACTTGTTTTCTGTCTTTTGTTGTGTTATATATGTATATATGTACTTACATCTTGTTTGTTTAATTAGAAAATGAATTTTTTTTGGAATAAAATGTGTACAAAGGTCAAAAAATTAGCTTTTGTTTGAAGCCACCCAACATTATCAAACTTTGTCATGGCTGCCAAGTGTTGGCAACATTTGCCAGTTTGGTGAGAAATGGCAAGTAGTTGCAGGTAGACTATCATGATTGTGCTTTTGGTAGTTTTCATCCAACTTACTCCAGGTATATAAAGCATTTTCTAGTGAAATATCATTTTGATAGATATTAGAGTCACTCAGAGTAGCTTTCGTAAACCTTGCTAAGATTCACTAAGGCCGGCTAGAGTATGGCTAGAGTACAGCCAGAACAGGCTGTAGGCATGCAGCACACTTCGGCACCCCAGCGGAGTTCAAATGACACTTAGGATTTTTCAAAGCATTGCGGGGAGTCATACACTCAGTAGAATAGAATTTGAAATGACGAGTAGCTATACTAGATATATGAACTTTGCAATATGTATCAACTGAACAGAAATCAATAAAATTGTAAATAAAAAAAAGTCCCTATGAGATCACAGCGCTAGGGGGAGGAGGGGATGCCAAGCGTTAGGAGAGGAGGGGAGGCCATGCGTTAGGAGAGGAGGGGAGGTCAAGCGTTAGAGGAGGAGGGGAGGCCAAACACTAGGAGAGGAGGGGAGGCCAAGGTCTGGAAACTAGTGTCAGTGCGAGAAACCCAGTGAATATGAGATGCTGCTGGTCAGATGGGATGGTCATGTGTGGGGGGAGAACTAAAATAGAATTGCTAAGGGTGAAAAGTTGTGGGGTGCGACTCTTGGGAGGTGGAGGAAGAACATACCTTGTGCACATCGCCCCCAACAATTTCATGCTGACTGGTTGGACGCTGTTGGCGGTGGATTGTGAGGTCAGTGTGGATCATGAGCCTGGAGTCCAAAGGTGCGATGAGCATGCCAACTGGAAAATCCTGTAATTTTAAACTGCACTACCAACTACGTCACATATGCCAACGGAATAGGAGTTTTGATCCCCCCTGAATCATCCTCACTATACCTCATCAATCTACATGTGTACAGATGCTGAATGACATTGACCAGGCTGCCCTTGCAGTAGCCAGGGCAAAATATCAGCACATCATGGAAGATGATGACTCTACAGACTCTATCTCAAGCTTAGACTCTTTAGATCTTACTCGTGACTTGGATCTTGATATTTTCTTAAATATTATGCTTTCCCCTCCTTCACCTCTATCTCCAGTCCTCTCTGACTTCTCTGATTTTTTGGATTTGGACGACTCATCAGACGATGATAATCATGTTCTTGCCCACTACAATTGCCTCCAAGATTCCATTGCAACTCTCCAGGATGAAGTTTTGAAGGCTCGTGTACTTCACAGGCCTGATGTACCTCTCCCAAGAGCCCCTCAGCTACACCTTCTAGTTCATTTTGGGGAACATCGCCCTCTCCTATTCCATCACAAATTATGTGTCGACCCAGAAATCTTTGACAACATCCTTGATCAAATCTCAGGTCAACCTATTTTTCACAACAACTCAAATAACTCCCAGCTTCCCATTGCTATTCAACTTGCAATTTTTCTCAACCGTGCTGGCCACTATGGCAACTCCATCTCTCTAGTGGATGTCTCTCAATGGGCAGGTGTTAGTGTTGGTTCAGTTATTAATTGCACTAATCGTGTCATGGTTGTACTGCTTGACCAGCATGATGCTTTCATGGGCTTTCCTCCCCATGATTCAAAGGATTTTGAGCTTGCTCGGAGGTATAGTGCAAGGGCTAGCACTTGCCCTGAGTGGCAGAATGGGGTCCTAGCAGTTGATGGGACAACAGTTGATTTATATGCAACACCAGGCTTTTTCCACCAGGCTTTTTATGATAGGAAATCAAAGTATTCTCTTGGCTGTCAAGTGAGTTATTTTATTTTTCTATGGTTAATAAATTCAAGGCAGTCATCATGCTCCATAATCTTCTCATAGTTGATTATGCTCTTGGTCATCCTGGAAGTGTCCATGATGCATATGCATCTTGATCCACTTGTATCTATCAGGAGCATGACACACTTCTGCCAGCTGATCACTGGATCTGGGCAGACAGTGCTTATCCACTAAGCACTTGGTGTATCACCCCTTTCAAGAAGCCCTGCAATGGACACCTGACAGCGAATCAGAGGACATTCAATTATCATCTTTCTACAGTCTGTACCATTTTTTCTTCCTGATTTTTCTGAATTTACAATTTATTTAGGTCCGTGTTCGCGTCGAACATGCTTTTGCTGCATTGAAAGGGCAGTTTTAATCCCTTTGAGATCTCCAACAGAATATCAATTCAGCCAATGACTTGCAGGCAGCTGTCCACTTGATTCAGTGTTGTCTCATTCTTCACAATATGATCATCCAGTTTGAAGAAAATCGATCTCTTACAGAAACTGGTGGCTCAGTGAAATGGGCCTGTCAAGAGGACAATA